ATAGACAGGTTTCAATTCTCTAATATTATATCAAGAATTTCCTATATCAATAGAATGATAAACCAAAAAAACAAAAAAAAAACTCACTTATTAATTCTCATAGAATTCAAGCTGATTCAAACAAACTTCAATCATTTATTGTACTAACTCGTATTTGAATATATCATTTTGTTTTTCGAATTCCGTACGATATGATTTTCAAGTACTCTATCCATAGATGGGACTGATCTGATTGACAAAAAAATTAGTCAATCAATATTAATTGGTAGCTTGATAATTAATTAATTGAGTAAAAGATACTATCAGCAAGAATTCATATTTCTTCAAAAATTTTATTATCTTATATTTTAGTCATTCCAGTTATTATAGAATATGAACTACGTAAGTGAACTATGACTATATATAAAAGAATAACATACAGAGTTAATTGACCAATATATCAATTCCATCGATGACTCTATTTCAATAATAAAATTGATTTGAGTCCTTCGAAGAATTCTACTTTGAAAGCTCTACATCTTTACTAATTCAAACAACTATTAACGTAATAATAAGTTAATTCTATGCTTGAAGCTTTATTTCTAAATCTTACCATTTTGTGAAACACGATCTAACAGAAGTGTTGAACTATAGGAATAAAAATTTGGAACCCCCGTTCCCATAGATCGTGACAGACGTTGTTGATATACGATCATAAATCATCTATCAATAGCCTCTCTCATTATAATATATATACTATTTTCTTATTGCATTTCTAGAGAATTAAATAAAACGATGGTGAAGAAATGTGTCCAAGAATAAAATAATCTTTCTATGATTAGCAACACTAAATACATCGTGTTTCACATTTTAATCTTGCAAGGATTGTGTTAATCGCTTTTTCTTATTCGCTTCTAGAAATATTGATTTTACAATTTGATAATTAAAAAATTTTCTCATATTTTACTTTAGTTCCACTCATATAGATAATACAATAACAATAATAACAACAACAACAGAAGTATCTATTTATAATGAATTAAATTCATTACAAGATACATATGGTCCATATATAGTTGTTGATATAAAAGATGAAGAACATCGAATGTGTGTAATTCGTTGTATTTATCCATTTGATAGTGCAGGATCATTTCTTATTTATTTATTTCTATCACGTCATTATCCAATAATATCTCAATTATTTATACGTTTTAAATTATTAACACATCATAATTTAAATGATGAACGTTTTAAATTATTTCAATTACATATTCAAACAATATTTGATGAAACATCAAATAAATGTTTTTATGATGGACAATTATGTTTACATAAATGTTTATTAAGATTAAAACATTTATTTGATTTATATTATAAACAAGAAAAATTATGTTCAACTATAATAACAAATAAATTAAATAAAAAACAATCTGAAGAATTAATACATAGTTTAGATTTTGATTCATCACATATTATTAATCATAATCATAATCATAATCATTATAATAATAATAATAATAATAATAATAGAAATTCAAATAAACTATATGATCAATTATCATCACCAACAATAGATATAAATAATAGTCAAATATCAAATAATCCATCGATTCGAGCAAATCCACGTACATGTGGTGCTCGTTTTATTGGTGGAACATATTTAATATGTTTTGGTCGAACATTAAATCTTCAACAACAACAACAACAACATCAGCAGCAACAACACCCAACTTCTGCACCACCAATTCTTAATAGTATCAATGATATGTTCATTAATCGTTCACAATCAATACATATGAGATCGATGAGTTTAACAGTAACAAAAAGTCGAGGAAATTCGAGTACAGATGAACATTCATCAAGGTAAAATTTTTTTTTTAAATCTTCTATTTATTTTCTTTTCTAATATTTGTTATTTTTTTCAAGTTATCGATCATCAACAACATTAACAAATACAGTACAAATTCAACATGTTTTAAATAATCAACGAACAACAATATTTTCTGCTCCTGTACGTTTATCATTAGGTTCAAGTATACTTACTGATCATCAACGTATATCAACATCATCAACAACATATCGTCGTTCTCTTAGTCATCATATATCACCACTTCATTCAACAGTATCAATATATGATATGTCAATACTTTTACCAATAAGTAAAAAATTAGCTGATGATTATAAATTTAATTTAAATAATTTAATTGATATGTGTGAAATAAATCAACAATTAACAGAACGAATGGCTAAAAATGATTTAGCACATTGTTGGCGTTTACTTGCTACTTTATTAGCTTTACAACCAAGTTTATCAAATGATCATTCTTGGTTTCAAACACCAATTGCTCAAGGTAAAAAAAAAATAACAATATTTTATATAAGAATTAATATCCTGCAACAGATATGACTTTTCACAATCGGAGCTAATCAACATTCAGCAGATACTTTTACAGACATAGTACGATCGTCAAACTTTTATTTTATATGAAAAAGTGTACTATATAGTTTCTTCTACAAACAGCAATAAGAAAAAAAAGAGAGATCATCTCAAATTCCACAAAGGAACCAAGGGATTCAAGATTCACTTGGTGTCTTTCTGCTTCTAAAATCCGATCAATTTTGTTAAATAAACATTTTCTTGTTGTTGATCACACTGGGATGGAACGCAGTGTTGATGTCAAGTGTTATAATTGTGAATACATATATAGAATGCTTTTTCCATCAAGACAATACATATTCACCTTATTTTTTTTTGGTAATTTATTTTCCTCTTCATGTATTCAGTTACTTCGTTATATGATTCATCATCATCATCATCTTTGGATGAGTTTTCATTAAAAACAAATTCTTTTAGCAAAATAATCTCGCTTTCCACTTTTGTGACCTGTTTTCAAATATAATAAATAGCTCAATCATGATTGAATCGGTTTTCACTTCTATACTTTTATATAAATTTTAACAGTTTGAAAAAGTAAAAATATTTTGAAACGTCGAGATTTCATTAATTGCCGAATTCACATATGAAAACATATTCACGGAGTCCGACTAGCTGCAGGACACTAAATAGTACAAAAAATAGAATCGTTTTTTTTTATTCCTATGTATTTAAATTCTTCTTTTAGGTTTAATTAAACATTTAGTTTCACATTATATTATTGGTGGTGATATTCAATCAGCAAGTATGTTTTTATTAACAATGTTAGATACACCATTTATGAAAACAAAAAATCAATTAAAACTTTTTAATCAACATCATTATGATCCAATTCTATATGCATATGCAAATTTATTACATCGTTGGAAACATTTTTATAAACGAACACAAATTTTATATCAAATTGATTATAATTGTCAATCACCAGCATCAATAAATCAAACATCATCAACAATTATTTGTTCAATTTGTTTTCAACCCGTTATTGGTCAACATATTTTATGTGCAATATGTGCACATGGTGGACATTTAAGTCATATGCATGGATGGTTTTCATCATCAGAAATAAAACATCGATATTGTCCAGAAAAAGATTGTGCATGTCGATGTATTATAAAACAACAAGAATTATTAAGTATGAATACAGATCATATACAAAGACATCAACATACACCAATATTAACACCAAGACCTCGTGGTATTCGTACATCATCAACTAGTATTCGTCCTTTTTGAGATATATAATTTTTTTTGATTGTTATATTGATGTAAATGTCTATTCGTGTTTTCGTTAATAAAAGACAAACAAATATAAAGAATAGAGTATAATAGAATAAATGAATCGCACTACTTTAGAAAAAAAAAGCGGACAGGGTGATGGTAGAATCATGAAGATCAGTAGAAGAAGAGTTATTGAATGCTGATGTTGATATCTATGAGTCCTCATTCTATAGATTTTCTTTTCTTTTATTTGAAAGAGTATGCTAGGGAGAAAAAAGAATGACAAGGTAAATATCTTGAAAATCTCTCAAAAGATAATTACCTATTTATAAAATTACTTTTTTATATAGTAATAAAAAAGGTTAATTCAAAATACGAACTCTGACAGGCACTGCAGTTTCATATGCAAAAAGTAAACAATTGGTTACAATGAAGCTCCTTCGAAAATTCTGGAATGCGCAACTAGAAAAAACATAAACACAGAAAAAAAAACAAAAAAGATTTCTTACTATTTCTGAAGAAAAAAAAAGCATATTTTCCAAGCAGAAGATGAGAAAAATCATCGAAAAGTTTTGGATAAAACGAAATACCAAAGAAAAAAATCACAATTTTTGCTGTCGAACATTGACGTTTTTCTTTTTGAGAAGAGCGAGCTTAAAAATGAAACACTTGACAATAATTCAAAAGTAAAGACAAAAGAAAAAGTCGACTTTAGTCATCAATATTAGCCTATTTTTCAAATTTTTATTTCCGATTAGAAATGATATACATAATGAATACTAAATTTCAACTAATCATTGTTGTGTAATCATTTACAAAATGCTCACATTTGATAGAATATAAAGAAAGTCTATGGTAAACTTTTGTTCAACTGTATTTATCAAATTATTTCTTCTTACTGAATTTATTCTCGATGCAAATTTTTATTGTCAGATTAAACCTAAGAAATAAAATTATTCATAATATATAGGTGATGATAGACTAAACTGGCATACATAATACTGAATCTGTTCATATCTCTAGGTATTAATATTCACTAAGGCAAATATTAAAAATATCTAATACTTTTAGAATTCTAATAATCTGTTCGCAAGAAACAACTTCAATGATGCTTTTAGATACATAATCTCAAAAAAAATTTCGATCGATTGACAATCGGAATCTTATTAATCTATTTTTTTCAATTTCAAAATACAATAAAATAGTTGAGATGTCTAACAAGGTCACTATTTACTTTCATTTATTGTCAATATTAAATATTTGATATACTAGTAGCAAGAATAGCTTGTCATTTGATATTTATTCTTTAAATAGAAGAGTAACAATCAGTATTACGAGTAGTCGAAAGTACATAACACTAAAAGTTATGCATCCACATAAACGACCATTATCTTACATATATACTACGTCTCCATATACTATTCCTAGTTTTGAAACTGTATCATCTCAACCAGTTCTATTAGATGTTAATTGGTATAATTCGTGGCCAAGTACTAGATCAATAATTATTTCTGTTACAATGCTTATTTGTAGTTCAACTATTATTGGTCTTGATATTGCTAATATAGCTATTGAAGGAAATAAACAAAATGAAACTTCTAAATTAGGATCAGGAACAGCAACAGTTGGTGCAGGTATTTGGAGTGGATCTATATCGTTTGTCGCTGCTATTTTTATTATTATAATTAGTAAGTAGAAAATTTACTACTAAAATAGAAGATCATTATTGAAAATTTGGTAAATTCACTGTTTTTGTGATCTAAAAGGAATGTTGAAAGATAGAGAAATACTACAAGGATTATGCTAACAGCTTTTAATTCTGAAGAAAGTCTTTTTTTTTGTTGTTTATCTAAATCATATCTGTTTTCATTTTTTGGTCTTCAATGTTTTATTTTTCTTTTAGTATTTATGAGCAATAAACGTATTGCTGCTACATTTGCATTATTAGCAGTTATTTTGGCTTTCTTTTTTACTATTGTTCTCATTGGTTTAGCTGGTAATTCAGTACAGAATAATCTATCTAAAACTGAACGTACAAGTGCAGAAGAAGTACAACATAAACTTTTAATTGCTATACTTTCTATTGCTCTATTTATCATGATACTTTGTATAATATTTTTTGCTATGTATATTAAAGTCTTACTTTCATCATCTGTTCGTAAAATAACAATGCGTTGACACAACAGACAATATTTAATAGAATTGTTTTAGACTTTATCTTATACTTATTATATATATATATATTGAAATATATGTAATTTGTCTAGTGAAATTTTTTTTTTATTTCTTTTTTTCTTATAATTCTCATTTTGAATATGACAATAAAAGTGTATACAATTATTAAAAACAATATAAAATAAATCTTAAATAAGATTCCCATTGGATCAATTTATAAAAATTTTATGATTCAGTTTTAATGAAAGAGAACGGCAGATGACTCATGTGAATACAATATAATTTTAGATATATTAGGCCTTGTCTCCACTAGAAAAATAATACAGTATTAACTTCGTATTAAAATGATGCGTATCTACACTTAGAAAGTTAATGCATCAATCAGAATCTAGAACGAAATGTCGCTTTTATTAATTCAATTGGAGCACATGAACCTAATGAGACTTTGATTGGTGCATTAACTTTAATTCGCTTTCGAAAGCGCATTAAATTTAATCCGCTTTTGAAAGTGCATTAAATGCGAATTATATTTTCTACAAATCAAGTTTCTTAATTTGGTATTAAATTTTCTAGTGGAGACAAGGCCTAATGGACTTATCAAAGACTCTGATTATAATTTAAGCATCAAAAGAAGGACAAACATTAATCAAACCTTCATAATTCAAAGTAAGGAAGTACTTATTATTAATAAACCTATTTTTCAATTTACATTAATATATCACGTACTATTTGATGATATAAAAGAGAATAAGACAAAATATATTGACTTCATTTATAATTTAAATACATTCTTCATTAGATATGTTTGCTGTATGTCCTCGTTTTCTAACACGTTGCTCAGTTGATTTTGGTTAACAAACACTACTAAAGGATATTGATTGGAAATTATAATGAAAATACAATAAAAAAAAAAATGATTCAACGGATGATGCAAAAGTTCTGCATTAATTTTATTTTCAGTATTGCATGCCAAGAACTCATTGTGGAGACTATAGGTTATTGTTAGAAAGAGCAAATTCTTTACTACAAAATGGTGTAAAAATATTTAGTTCAAAACACTTATCGACGGCTAAAAAGTTTTAAGAACATGTTATGTGTAAGTGTAAACAACATGATGTGGGCTTTTCAGTACTATCAAAATGTTCGAGTTACAACAACTATAGGTTCCATAGGAAACAGTTTTATTAAAAACTTGATTTTTTCTCTAGAACACCAAATGAAATTTTTCTCATAATGTTTAATAGAAAATGTACTTTTGTAGAGGATCACTAAACTCTAATTGAACATAAAATATAAAGTTACATTGCTAGAAAAAAAAAATCTTATTTTTCGAAGTGACTTATTAGTTGTGAACACTTTTCGCTAACAAAACTCGTTAGAAAAATATCGGTTTTGAACTTAATCATATTAACTTGAAAATTTTATTTTTACCTATTTACAATACTCTATCGTACTACTAAAAAATCCGATAAAAGACGGAAAATAAGACTGATTTTGTTCTGCAGAGACATCTTTTCTGTATTCAGTAAGTATTTTGCAATCAAATATATTTTGACAACTTTGTTCTTTCTAATAAGAAAACTCAAATCTGCACGACGAGTGATTGTCATATTATAATGAAAACAAAATTAATGCAGAATTTTTGCATCATTCACCATTTCATAGTATATTACTCTTAATAATATTTAAAAAGATGCAAGTGTTATTCTTCTATCAACGAACAATTAATCTGACATATAATGACCTCTTTCGTCGATTCCATAGCATCTTGAACACAAAACGAGAAAAAGCCAATGGAAAACAATTATGACTATTAGTCAGATTCTCTATTAACACTATATGTAATAAAAAAAAAAGATCAAATTTTCATAGTAATTTTAGAATGTGATTATTTAATATATTCTAAAAACACAATGGAAAAAAACGAATATGCACTTGATTATACTCTTCAAGCAGAATAGTAAGACTAAAAACTGTCAAAAAAAAAAAAATCTTTTTCTTAAATGATTGAATTATTTTAGTAATCTTCTTCGAAAACAATTTATACCTGGCATTATTGTTATTCCATCGGGAAAATCAAATCTAAGTAAATTTTTTTATTCTTTTATTTTTGATTTATATATTAATAAAAGTCATTGATTTTTTTTTTAAAGTATGGAATGGTGTTCATTTTATTTCTCAAGGTCCTTATGAAGGTGGTGTTTTTCGTTTTATAATTATAATACCAAATACATTTCCTGATAACGATAGTCCAGTCTGTTTTTGCAAGGCACTTTTTTTTCTTCAATAAAATAATTGTTTTTTTTTTGTTTAGCAAGTGCTTTTTACATCATCAGTATATCATCCTCAAATAAATCCACATACAGGTGAACTTGATATAAAACGATATTTTCCTGTATGGAAGTAAGTTTTAAGAAATTAAATTGTTTATCATTTAATTTCTTATTTCTATAGACGTAATGTACATCATCTTTGGCAAGTTTTACGTTATATTAGACGTATATTTCAAAAAATTGAAACTATAAATGCAGTAAATTCTGATGCGGCTCATCTGTAAGATTTAATCAAAGAATTAACAAGTCAAAATTATGGTTTATATTTTTCTAGGTATGATCATGATCCAGGAGCATTTCTTTTAAAAGTATCTGAATGTGTCAATCAATCAAAAGATAATCTTTATATTCCTGATTCATCAACTATTGATGATCCACATGCTATTATGTAAGTTAAATATATTACTTATAAAGAAATGTTCTTAACTATAATAAATAAATATTATTTTATAAGATTATCGAATTTTACTATGGCATACATACAAAATTATGATTACGTTAGACTTAAGATTTTATATCCAGTGATATAAGAGACTTTGATAAATATCGAATATCTCAAAAATAGAATAATCTTTAAAATTCCTTCTGATCCAAACCCAATTAATGATTTGAATAGTGAAAATGACTTCAAATCAGAATACAAGAAAATAAAAATCCTAGTTTTTCAACACTTAGATTTTGTTTAGACTACATAGAACAATAGAGCAAAACATCCTCTACAAAATGAGACATCACCGAGCTCTCTGAGATGTTTATTCGTTGAGATACAACAATTTGATTGAAGGTCAAAAAAATAATTTTCTTTTTATAGGAAATTAGAAAAAGACAACTTTAGGGCTTTCGTAAGGTTGCTGTATCGCAGCTAAAAAAAAACATCGCAGAGAACTGGGAGGCATCTTATTGTATAGAGAATTGTTTACTCTATCGTTCTATGTAATCTAAACAAAAATATATTTATTGTAGGCGTCAAAAAATTACTCTTTTAGTTTTCTGAAGTTTCTATCTTCAGAAGCGTAATACTAATTTTTATTTCCTTATTTTTCTTTTGGAAATAATTTGAAAATAAACCTTGTTAAATGATTTGAGTATCTTGTATTATAAATTGAACAAACCAATAAACAATCATCATTTCGAGAAGAGGGTGGATGTGATTCTCACACTCTTGCGAAATTCAGATTTATAGACAATAATGTCCTATGCAAATTAAAGCTTCGCATTGGATGGAATAATCCCATGGGATAAACAACTACTTATGTAAACATTTTTTTCTAAGAAAAGATATTCCTATTTTTTTCATAAAAGACAATATTCGTGTCCATTTCAATATAGTAAGCAAAAATAAAATATTATTCTGTTGTGTAATTGCTTCTATATTGTAGCCATTAGACTACAGTAAAATGAATAATAATCAATGAATAAATAAACAAAAGACGTAATTCTGCCTCTCATAATAATTAAAAGCAGTAATTGATTCAGATCTTAGTAATAACTTAGAAAATGTCTTCTAAAGATTTCTCATCATCTGTTATTAAATGTCAATCTCATTCAAGGGTGGCTGTGGATGTCAGAAAAACGAGTAAAGGTCGAAGACCATATAATCTAATTTTATTGTCACATATCATAACAAACAATTCTTATCGAAATTTTTATTATTATGATATTAATTGAAGAATGATCAAATATTACAAAAAAATAGAGCATTGTTTTTTACTATCACTACATATAGAGAGAGAAAATACTTCCACCACTACTTTCTGATTGTTCTCAGTGGTATAATATTTTATATGATTGATCATGTGGATAAATGTACTAATAGGTATGATATTCCCATGAGACAGAAAATTATCGAAGGTTGTCCCATCGTATCCTACGTGGACCTTTGATTTTCGTAGTCTCATATTAGAACTAAATTTCTTTACGAGTCAAAGTAAAAAAAGATTAATTTCATTCTTATTTACATTCGATTAAAACACGATACTTGACACTTGAAATTTTCTCTTATGAGTTTATTATTCATAAAAATTTAAATTCTTTCTTATAGATTTACACCATGGAATGAAAGATTACAAACAGTACGAGAACATCTGTTAGCTGGAACGAAGGTAAATCAATGTTTAAATAAATATAATTTTTTTTTAAAATTCAATATAAAATTACTTTCAATCAGAAAACATTTTCTCATATTGGTACGAATCAAAAAGAGGATAGCACTTCGTGTAAGTGCCTAAATGCATGTGCACGTTCTCATATGATTTTTTTTTTCAAAAACCCTACTAGAAACATTTTATTTTTATTTTTTTTTTGACTTATCTAATAAAAGTCAAAAATAATGCTTCTTGTCTTCGAAATCCTTAGTTAACAATAAGATTTGATTTTTGGTTCACTTGATATAGCATGTCTTTTTTTACTCGTGTATGATTAGATTTATTTATAGAAAAAATTTTTCTTTTTATTATTAATTTTTATTCTAGCAAGCTTTTGATAATATTCATGGTTTATCATGGATGAAACCAGGTGTTTATCAAATATTAGCACGAGAAGATACTTTACCAAGTCATCAAAATTAACTTTTATACACAAAAGAAAAAACTTTTTCTTTTTTTTTGTTGTATTGTATTTTTTTTTCATCTTTTCCTTTTCTTTTTACTTATTTATTGAATCATATTTGAT